TCCTCACTAAGAGTTGGTGATCGGTTAACAGCGTAAACCGTAGACCATAAAGGAACGGATTCAATTTTTCGACTCCATACACTATTCCTAACGCCTCCTTCTCTATTTGGGCGTAATTACGTTCCTGTTTCGTCAAGGAACGTGATGTGACGCGGTTACTTTCTCGGTTGCATCATCATATCTATGGTATGATACTGCTCCTATCTTTGAGGCATCGGTATCTAATGCTACCGGAACATTCGGATTATAATGCCCTAATATCTCCGTTGCTGTAAGCTTTTCACGTATCTTTGTGAAAGCTTTTTTCTCTTCGGCACCCCAATTCCACGGTGCACCTTTCCTGCGCAAACTGTTCAACGGCGCCGCCAACGTAGCTAATCGAGGGATAAATTTCCCCTAGTATGTATCATGCCTAGTAAGACTCCAACTCTTTTATATTCCTAGGTTCTGGCATGTTCACTATCGCTTTTATTTACCGGGAGATGGCCTAATGCCCTTTTCATCGACCACGTGGCCTAAAAACTCCATCTCCTCCTTGAAAAATTCACATTTTTCTCTTTTGAGGCGAAATCCTGCCTCATTTAATCTATTCAAGACCTTCTCTAGTCTTTCTAAATGCGTTTTGTCATCTGGACCTGTAACTGTAATATCGTCCAGATAAATCAGCACCCCTTCAATTCCTACCAGCGTCTCCTCCATTATCCGCTGGAATATTGCTGGTGCTGACGCAATTCCAAAGGGATTCGCGTGTACTCAAATAATCCCTTATGCGTATTGATCGTCGTATACTTCCTTGAGCTCTCTTCCAGCTCAACTTGCATATAAGCATCTGAAAAATCAACTTACGAAAACTTCTTTCCAACATGTAACATAAAATAGTTCGCACAGCACAGAGACTGGAGCAGAAGCTTTATTGCTAGGCGCACCTCAATACCTCTGTCAATAAACTGAACCTTGCTCCACTCTGGGAAGGTTCTATGAGAAGGATAAGATAATATATATATAATGTATGTATATAATATAGTATCATTCATTAGATCACTGATGATGCGCTTTATCGCTACTTCTTTCTTATCTTCATATCGGCAACAAGTTCTACCATGTGCTCCACAGATTATTCTTCATCACTTGATACTTCATCACAAAACTAAACACTCTTATTTAACAAAGAACAAATTACCAAAGAATAACTCTGAAGTAAAATCGTGGATAATCCGCGATATTCCCGGCGCGGCGCATTTTCAGTCTTGGAAGAATCTGAGATCGCGCTCCAACTTCTCAATTCGATCCATCGCTTCAGCTAAGCTACGTCGCGCTATCGCTCTCCTCTTCGCTATTTCTTCACTTTTATCGGGAGCTCACATAGGCGGAGTGATGTCCGTAATTCCGACAATGAAAGCATCGCACATCGTATTTGGGACAGTTGTTCCCTCCGTAGCAATACTCGAGGCATTCTTCACACCTTCCTCTGTCTTCAATCATTCTACGGCGAACAAATACAGACCTTATCTCGACGCAGGAATCCGAATAATGACGACCGATAGATCTACAGAAGACACAGCGCATGAGACGTTCGCCTCTTTACGAATTGCTCCAAGACCAAACCGTCTGCGTGGACAAGTGGGATGCTTACGTAGCTCGTCGACAATTTGACGGAAATTAGCGCGCGAACTGTTGCAGTTGCAGGTATTTCACTCTTGAACCTGCTGCCTCATACTTGCATTTTCTCGCCTGATACGCTCTCCAGGATCCTCATGTAGTTGTTGCACTACTTCAACCTCGTCTGTCTGTTCAAGTTCTTCTACTTCTTCGAGAAAGTCAACGTTGTCTCGATGGCCCTTCTCTCTAGATCTTGCATGCGAAGGCCCTCCGGCGCGGGTACACTTTTGATGCTCTTTATCGAAGAGACAGATGTTCCTTCAGAGTAGGTATCGTTCCTCATGTCGTTCGTGCAGAATTCGATAATGGACTCTACGCTCCCATTTTATTTTATGGCTTGCAGAGCTGCGTCCAGTGTCGCTTGTAGACTTGTGAGTTCCTTTTTCGCTGCACGGGTTTATGGAGCAGTTGTTCCATTTTCTGGAAGAAGAAATTGGGGTAGGAACTGGTATAAAGCTTTTTCCTCCATGGTACTTTTCTGATTATGGCGCCGACGCATCTCGAGATTTTCATAATTTTTTCTTGTGAGTGAGCATCGTCGAGGTTTTCTGCGAAGTTACTCGAAGAAATCGTAAAGGTCGCCGCATCCGAATCCATGCCATCGGCTGGATCAATTTGCTGTGTGGATACCACTTGTCGCCCTGTTAGTAGGTATCCCAGTTTTGAAGGAACAAGCTGCAGTCTGTGACGGGAATAAGGCACTTCAAGAAAATTCCATAACTGATCGCACCCTAAGAGAATTTGTGGTTTCGAAGTATGTTCGAAATCCTTTCCTGGATAAGGAAATATTTGTGCGCGCAATGTACTCCAAATCCGCGGTGTGGCTCTTCCCTAGCGCTTGGAACTGGTATAGTGTAGAGGCGAAACTCATGCTTCACACCTTCATGGTCCCACAGGTCTAACCACGTTTCTCCACATTTGAATTCCCTAGGCGTTTCTGTACCAATGGTGTACATTTTGAAGCTTTTTTGCCCGTTACATACAAGTCCGAGTTCTTCCGCTAGTTCTTAACTAATGAACGACTGATCAGCGCCAGTGTCCATTAAGACTTCCACGTCTTTCCAGAGATTCCGTCTCGAGACCCTCACTCGAGCAACTCCAGTTAGTAAAAGGTCACTGTTTCCCGCCTTTCGGGTTTCCTTATTCATATTGCCAAGACTGTTTTTCTTTTCCATGGAAGAAAGAACAGTCTTTGAACTGTCTTCTTCTTCGTAAAGCGTAGCTATTCCGGAAGCACAGGAAAGTGTTCCAATCAAATGTGCTTGTGCTGGTTTCGGCTTCTTTTGTGGCGCTTTTCTCGCCGCTTCCGATGTATTTTGGTGTGTAGTAGGTGCGTCTAATTGCGCCGATTCGTGCTCTATTTTTTCCTTCAGTGGCTGCGTAAGCTGGTTTCTCCACTGTGGAAGACGTTGTGGGCAACGCGTATGGTGATGCTTTTGTCCATTGCACATTGCATCCTTCTTTCGTACAATCTTTGATTAAGTGTCCTTGTTTAGCACAATTGAGACACTTGTTCAGGTCACGGAAACCTCTTCTCCGATGTGGAGTATTTTTTGCAGAACATTGATTTGTGGTTGTCACCGCAAAAAATGCACTTTCCACTACCCATAGGCTCCAGGCATGGATCGCAAATTCCTCTGAACTTCTGTGTGCGTGGTATCCTCAGCTTTAGACCATGTCGTCTATTTTTTCTTCCATTGATATGATTTCATCAAAGTCGGCTAAGGTGTCCTGCATTGACCAAGCGTTTTCACCTAAGGATGGATTCATTCTTTGCCGAAGAACCTTCCTCTGAAGATCTACCGAGAACTTGGAAAGTATTTTCTGCACCAGAAACGATCCGTCAAGAGGTACAACTTTCTCTCTGAGCTGCGTCACTAATGGGATGAGGAATCCTAGAAGGCGCCATTGTGCAGGAATCGTTGATTTTTCTGGCTTTGCATTTTCCAAGCGAGACTGTAGACAAGCGATGAACTTAGTGTCATCGCCGTATTTGGCGCATAAAAGGTCAACAGCATGGTCATAGTTGTCATCCGTCACGGGATAGCGGCGCACTGCTTCGCGAGCTTCCCCTTGTAGCGCATCTATTTCTAGTCTATAGTCTAATAGTTGAACTTCTGTAGCTTCGTCAATGGTTGATTATGGACGTTTGCTACGAACAAAGTTCAAAAGTTTTGGAATTCCCAAATTTTCCCACTGAACGATGGTATGGGAATAGGTGGCAATGTTCATGGAGAAATTCCCATTGTCAGGTGTTGCGCTTGGAAGTTAGGTGGCGATTGCGCGTGGTCGCGGAAGCTCATACGGAGCTTCCAGCGGGCTCCTCACACCAGTGTATTTGGCGGGAGACTTTCTGGCCAACCCTGGCGTTCTTCCAGCACGTCACTGCCAGGTGGCCTCTCTTCCTGCATACATTGCAGTATGCCTTCTCTTTCCTGAAACACTCGTAACCGGCATGGCCAAGCGCTCCGCAAACCCTGCATCTCATACTTTTCCGAGCTGGGCCCTTGCTCGACCTTCCCTTTTGTTCCCTCGTTTGCGCGCTTCCATGGCACCTGCCGGTTACGCTCATCTTTCCGGGTTCTTACCTGAGCCACTCCCACCGGTAGAGTTTGCGGCTGGTCTTCCTTCTGGTGTGGAACTTTCACTCCTACAAGTCTTCCGCCTGCTCCAGAGCCTCTTTCGAGGATAGCTGTTCCTTCTCTAGAAAGCGCTTCCTCGTCTCTACAGAAAGCAACCCACCGATAAAGACCATCGTCACTTCTGCATCCCGATGATCTCTTGATTTCTTCAGAAGCAGCACGTATTCGCTGCTTTCTGCAGCTCCGCGTAGTACTCATGCAGCGCCTGTCCTTGCTTCTGTGTCTTCGACATCATCAGCCCAAAACGTTCTGCCAATACCAGCTTTTTCGGCTGGTAATGCTGCTCCATTGCTGCCCGAAGATCCTTCAGGGCCACTTCTTCCAATTCGCATGCTTGCAGGAGTGACTTCCAGTAACTCGTAGTCCGAATTACCCGCTTCCTGCGGGAATATTAGCTGATCCCTTTCCTCCGTTACCTTCCTCAACACGAAGAAGTTCGCGAATAGCTTCTACCAGGTCCGCCACGACGTCCCCGGGACATAGGGCCCCGGGCTCGGCCTCGATACACTTCAGTACCTGGATCCCCCATCGTGGCTCTCCCAGTGGCACTGGTCCCTGCCTTCCATCTTGACTACTTGTACTTGTCCTTGTCCAGCTTCCACACTCGTCATCCTGTTCGCCTGATCGCCAGTTGTGTTGTGTTGTACACCACAGAGGGAGGAACGCTTTATCGATGGTCTTTTATCTTTTCAAACTCACATATCGCTGCAGCTTTCTGCAACCCCGCATAATAGTCTGTAGAGTTTGTCCAGGGCGTTGTGTTCGGGACATCAATCCATACCGTTCCTCCAGGACCAATTTCTTCGGTTGGAAGTGGTTTGCCATCCTTTCGCTCAAGTCCTTCAATGGCACGTGTTCTGGCTCCCCTTGTAGTTCGTAGTTACTCCCTCCATTTTCCTGCAAAAAGATCAATCTCTGTTCAATTTCATTAATAACTTTCCTCAGTGCTAAGAAGTTATTATATAAGCGCCACCAAGTGCGCAACGGCGTACCTGGCACATGAACGCCAGGTTCGCGTCCCGGTGGACCTCTACTAAGGTACCCAGTTCTGTCATCGCGGACGCCTTAATAGAAACGGAACCGTCCTGTGATGTCGACATCTTGAGCTCCTCTTGAATGCTGGATTGGCGGCCTCCCCTGGATTGGTAGCGGTCTCCTTTGCTTTGCTTCGGTCTTCTTCCGATCCGTGAGTTACTGGCCTGATGGACGGTAGGCGACACACTGGGGGAATCATTTATTCCATCGAAGATCACTCTTACATAGTAGGATTGTTTATCCTGCTTCAGTCCTCGTGATCTTCTTCATATCTTCTACTCATTCTCTGCCGGTCTCCAACCGTCAACCCTAAATCATCCTTGTTCTCCTAAACTGTTGAGCTAAGGCCAAACAACTGAGCAATTGAGGCTCCTTTCCCAAGGCCAGTAAGGGCTTCCTCTAACGAGCTATTGAGGCTCTTGTGTTCAGCCGCTAAGGCTACTTGACTGGCCTACAGGCCTTCCAACAATACCGCTAGGACACCACACAGATGAAAGAGGACAGGAACACTGGAGCTAGGTAACAGTGCAAGTAGAACACTGGAACGTCTGGACCCTTTTACTGGAACTTCGCGCGAATGGTTCCCCTCCGGCAAGATGATCTCTCATGGCATCCCGCTACCGCCTCCTCCTTGACCATAGCTGAGTTAAGGCAGGCATATATAGTCGACAGCTGTGTGTAACACCGAAGAGAGGAATCCTTTATTCTACTCTGATCACCCCTTTTTATACCATCCTTGTTTTTCTTCCATCTTCTCCAGTGATCTTCTTCCATTATCATTCTTCTATTCCTCCCTTCCGGTCTTCCTCATTATACCTGAACTACCTTTATTCCCCTACATCTCCCCCCAAGTGACTTTAGTCACTTGCACTTTTACTTACATGAGCCCGCCGACTGGGAAGGATTCTACCCTAGTCGGCGCCCCCAATTCCTTGATCTACACAGAATTTTCAGAACATCTTTATTTCACTTTTAACGGAAGAGCATAAATCGAAAAATCTTATCACTGTTCGACATCTCTCTCGACTCTTCGGGAACTGGCATTTCCTAGTTCTTGTACCTGAGCCGTCAACTGCGCGCATAACACGCGCATGTTTTCCAACTCCTGACAAAGAGTAGGGCGGCGGCTCCTCCTCCCGCGACGATTTGGACGCCCACGGTACGGTCCACCACCAGGAAATCCGTCCGGGCGTTCTCCCCGAATTGCCTCCGCTTTTCCCACATACGGTTGGATCGATTGCTGAATATTTCCCTTTAACACTACCTTGAAACTCCACTCCAAAGTTTATTTCACTTACCGGCGCAACAACTGGAGGAAGTTGAATGACAATAGGGAAATTGCCACTGGCAGGTGTCGGAGTCATAACCACCTGTGGAGGCGGCGGCAGCGCAGGTGCGGCCGGCGAACTTGGAGTCGGTGTGTACATCCACATCATTGCCGACCTCACCGCGCCTTCGCCTTTTATATCAACATCTCTCCTTATCATTTGCACGGCTTATCCCCTGTATCAAATTTACCCTATACTTATTTTTACTCCATCTTCCCCTATTTTGGCCGGCCATCGTTTCGCTCAGCTCCTTCAATGTCACCTGCTCTGGCTCCTTGCCTTGCAGCAGTGACTCCAACAACTCGTAGTTTCTGCTGCCAACTTCCGGCAAAAAGATCAGTCTTTGTTCCATCTCGTCTGTAACTTTCCTCAAAATGAGGAAATAGTTGGACGGCGTCAGAGACCAGACGGAGGAATGTTTATTCATACCCGAACAGTCCATTTATACCACACTTATCACATCCTTCGCGGTCTTCTTCATTCTTCTTATCCGCACGTCCGTCGAATTGTTCTTCTTCCCTTCCATCTCATCCTAAACCGGTCTACCCAATTCACCCCTCAACATCCCCCCGTGGTGACCATCCTGGTCACTCACCAGCGTCCCAGTCGCTTACAGCCTAATTAATTAATGCTAATCCATACTACCCCATTCCACTTCTGCCATACACAAAATTTCCAAATACTTTATTGAACATTTGATGCACATTCAGCTAGAAACCTGTTCGATCTCACATTGTGTTCCTTCAGTAGCCAAATCGGGAGCCGGCCGTGCCCTTTCCGCCTCTTGATGACGGGGCACTTCGCTCTCCAATCCTCTGCAGCAGGCACAGTTCCTTGGCTCCGCGGGGCTATCGAACACTCTGCGGCGAATCGGATCCGGCCAGGGCGCGGCCCTCGGCGGCCTCCCCTCGTACGGCGGTTGCTCTATAACGTCCCCAGGGCCGCCGCGTCGGGTAAGGGGGATTCCTCCCCCTCCACGCCCTGGAGCGAGCCGTCGCTCGGCGCGGGCCGTTCCGATCCTAGTAATGGAACTTATGTTACTCCTTTCCACACCATATAATCCATTGGAGTACTTACCGTTGTTTGTACCACCACGACCGCTGGCGGTGTCCCAGCCGTAGTCGCTGGCGCACTGGACAGTGTGGGAGCGGCTGGGTTGATGAGCACGACCGGAACCGGCGTTTGCGGGGCACTCCACACCACACCCGGTGTGCTTCCGGTGGGACTCAGCGAGATGACCGAAGGGATGTTCATCCTTCAGCGCTGGCGACAAATGAACCCTACTCCTCACCTGACTTCTCGCCGCCACCATATCAATGTTTACTGCCCTCTTATCCGTCTTCTGTCGTTTCCTCTCCAAATATTCCTTCATTTTTTCCGTCGGCTTCCGCCACTTCCAACACCTCTTTAGACGTTAACTCCTCCTTCTCGAGCAACCGCTTCCTAGTTTCTACAGACGTCAACCCACCTATGAATACCATCGCTACCATCATGTCGCGTACGTCCTTGACCTTCTCCAATCCACAGCTACTGGCCGCCTTCTGGACTTCGGCATAGAACTCTTGTAATGTCTGCCCAGCCTTCTGCGATTTCGACATCAATCCAAATCTTTCGGCCATCAAAAGCTTCTTGGGCTGGAATTGTTGTTCCATAGCTGCCTTCAACTCCATTAGTGTGGCCGTCTCGGGTTCCTTGCCCTGTAACAAAGATTCTAACAATTCGTAGTTGGAGGCCCCTACTTCTTGGAGGAAGATGAGGCGCTTTATCTCCTTCATCCGTTACCCTCCTTAACGCCAGAAAGTTCTGAAACAACCTCCACCAGGTATTCCAAGAGGTCCCAGGGACATACGCCCCTGGGCTACGGCCCCGATATACATCGTAGGCCGCGGCCGGATCTTGTCCAGCCGGCGAGACTTCTCGCACCCCGACTGGCCTGGTGGAGGCGCTACTTACTATACCGCCTTTGTTGTCGTTCATCCTACTCCTGGCAGTTGATCAGGCTGCTCTTGCTGTAGTTGAACGACCTCCTCGAGCGGATCCAAATCCTCTTCGCGGTCTTCTTTATTCTTCTTATCCGCACGTCCGTCGAATTGTTCTTCTTCCCTTAAATCTCATCACCCTAAACCGGTCTACCCAATTCACCCCTCAACAGAAATTATTAAATAGTCGCCACCAAGTGCGCCACGGTGTTCCCGGCACATAAGCGCCAGGTGCACGTCCCCGGTAGACCTCCACCAAGGTCCCGGGTTCCGCCACCGCCGACGCCTTGATGACGACAGAACTGCCCTGGTTAGTTGACATCTCCTTCACTGACGTCTTCTAGTTTTCTTGAACGCTTCCACTGCGTAGTACACGGCCTCCACTGCTTCGTGTGCGGCCTCCAGTTGTTCACTTGCTGCCTTGCTGATAGCTACGGCCTCCTCCGCTTCTTGAGTTGCTGCCTGATCGCCAGTCGGCAGCTGTGTGTAACACCGAAGAGGGGAATCCTTTATTCTACTCTGATCACCCCTTTTTATACCATCCTTGTTTTTCTTCCATCTTCTCCAGTGATCTTCTTCCATTATCATTCTTCTATTCCTCCCTTCCGGTCTTCCTCATTATACCTAAACTACCTTTATTCCCCTACATATATCTTCCTATTAAGACTTTCCTAATAACTCAAAAGACGATGGATATGTAAAATCTTGGGTAATAATTCATGGCGAAGTGAAGAGTATCCAACAAAGTAGCGAGAAAGCACTAGAGAACATGAAAACACTGAAATGCGCACTTGCATGGAGCGCCTACAGTGAATATAGGCCGTAATGGGAGCAGTTGGCACATCGAGGGCGTGTACATGATATTTTGTACATCACAGATCTACGCCCAATCTTGAGTTAAACTGTTGGAACTACTTTAGAACCAGATTTCCACGTGGTCAACGCGATAATCAAGGTTTTTGAAACAGTAAAACGCAAGTACGTGAATTACACTTCTTGCGGCTTAATCTACGGCATGCCAGATTTGTCGTTCTTCTCTAAACTTCTTTAGATTCATTTTGTAGTTGCTCATGTTAGTTGTTCTTAGTTGTTAAGCCCATACATCGTTGTTTTATACCTTTTATCGTATGCTTTCATTTATGACGTATTGTCTCCCACCTTTTCAGAAACTCCCCAAGTGTTCCAGGGCATTATGATCATTGGAAAAACTTCAAGGAGCAAGAAATTGGCTGCAAAAGGCTTCGAAAAAAGTCGTAAACGGAAAGCTTCACACGAGGTTATTCGCTTACAACTGTACCATTAATCATTCAAGTAATTGTTCATATTTATTTACCCTGTCACTGTTAAACTAGGTCTCAATCGAGGAATCCGACAATGACGAACAAGCAAATTCTAAGAAGTTTATTGAGGAAGAAAAAGTACCTGTTATGGATATTACCACAAAAAGTGATTCGGATGGAGAAGGAGATTCAGATAGAGAGGTTGGCAATTCAGTTCACTCCAAAAGTAGTTAATATTTTTATTATCAATGTCGTTGTGCTTTCCAGCTGCAAATAGCCCTTCGTGAAGGTCTGTTAAAAACCGACAAGCTCAACTACATCGTGCCCGCAAAACGTCCTATCATAAACAAAACGGTTAGTTGGCTCATAATTTGTATGTAAATGCGAGCAATGAAGGCTAAAACGAATCAGAGAATCACGCTATTGATCTACAGGTAATAATCGCACGTGGTCGTTGTCGCCCGAACTTCATTTTGTCTGATTTTGAATCGCTCAATTGAACGTTCTGAAATTCTACAACTTCGTATCTCTTGATCCTCGCCTTGATCTTAATGGCCGTCTGTTGAAGGCCGAAATGCGGGAGAAAGTCGCTGAGTTCGCCAGAAAGTTGCCTTGGATTGAAACTGTGGACGTGACAACGAAATCTACCCTCACTAAGGAAATGATCGATAATGATTTCGATCGTGAGATGCAGTTGTGAGTCTTTCTAACATTTATTTAAAACACTGCATTTTTTGTACTCAATTCAATCCATCTCCCAATTTATGAGCTGACGAGATTTAAATTGAGAGAGAGTTCGTTCTTTATTCCTGGAAATGCTTCCTTCTGATGGCGTAAATGTTTGAGCGTTTCTTTTGGTCTTTGAGAAAGCCAAAATTACGTAAAGCACCAAGAGTTGCCCAGTTGGGCAATTCGGCCTACATTTACCTGTGATCTTCCTCTTGCGGAGACCCAATAAATCACTTAGAGGCTCTGTATCGGATACGCATTGCCAATCGAAAATGTGAATTGCTGATCTGTCTTGGCCGACGGTTTAACGAGTTAGGCCCGCTATATCTGGCATAATTCCGGAGGCGTTGCAGGGTGTGGTTCACTAGGACAGAAAGCGACTTTCGCGTTTCGCAGCGCGAAACATTTTCGCTGCGGGAACCTCGGGTCCACTGATGATCAGCGGTGGACCTGAGGTTCCCGCAGCGAAAAATGTTTCGCGCTGCGAAACGCGAAAAAGTCGCTTTCTGTCCTAGTGAACCACACCCGGCGTTGCAAAAGTCATCACACACTTTTCGGATGCATCTCGATTGCATCTGGGAAATGTTTTCAGTGTTTATTTTCTGTCCCTCTTTATATAGATGTATTCGTTACTTTCTGACTTTACTATTTTCTTTAACGTTTTTACCTCGCAAGGCAAATGATGCCCGCTGAGAGTCATATCATTTCACCTCAAAATCTACCCGCCGCCTGGCACTTCAGGGAACGAGTTTTCATTTCAGCTACCTTCAGGCGGAGAAGGCTGTTCAAATAGCAGTACCTCGTCTTCTTTCAATGGGTGTGAAAGTAATTCGTCCTTCGGACTATTATGCTGAAATGGCGAAAAGCGACGGCCACATGCAAAAGGTATCTCATCGAATTTTTTTAGTTAGAACCCAGCACTTGTACTCAATTGCTTATCTCTTTATGCC